CTTCTTTTTACATTTTTGGGTTTCTCAGCAGCAAAAATCATAGTTGGGTAAACTTAGAGCACAATGAGTGTGAGAGTACCACAAAACATTTTTTTTTTTGCATTCCTATTTGCTCAAATAATGAATGAAAAACTCAATGATAGTGCTATCAAGACTTTCTAAAAAAGGTGTGTGACTGCAAATGGCAGCCAGAAAGGGGAACAACATCAAATTTACAGTCCCACTCATAGAAACTGCATTAGAAACACCCCGCATAAGAGCCAATTATTTTATTGCTTATGTATTTATTTTTTTGTTTGTAATTTAATGCATAGATGTTATAATGCAAATTGTAGCTTTACAAATGGACATATGCTTTTTGAAAACTTTATGCACTCAATTTTGATCTAGTAAAAATTGATGAACAAATTTCACCACTTTTGTCTGCATTTTCACCCAATGCAAAGCATACACACGAATACACTTACACACATACACATACAGTACACACACGCACACAGGGTTGCTTTTGTGAATTGTGGGGACATTCAATACAGTAGGTTTCCATTGTTTATACTGTATTTTGTATTGCCTAACCCCTACAAATAACTCTACCCCTTCTGGTTTGTGTGGAGTCTCATGATCAGAAAAGAACTCATTCTATGATTAATCAGTCTTTTGAAGAATGGGAGGAATGTCAGCAATGTCTTTATAATTCATTATCTCCTTGTAACACCCGTGTCATAACTATGTTATTATACACATTTGTGTCCTGAAACAGTATGTCACACACACATAAACGTATCAGGAAAGCATTTAAAACAGGCCCCTAGTCAGGGGGGTTCGAGTGGTTTGAAAGACCCAGGTCCAAAATTTGATCATACATGAGCTAATTTGTCCTATTTTGAATGTTTTGCCATCATAAATAGTGAAAATAACCCATTAAAAAAGGCTTTAAGACCAAGCAGAATCCTCTGTTGGCTCTAGGGTGACTTCAGCTAATCAGTTTTGCACAATGCAAACCATTTTTTTTCATGAGTCCATTATCCAGCTGTGCAAGACAGCATACAATCTGATGAAGTAAAGTGGCAATAAACTACAATCCTTAATTTAAAACGTTAACAGATTCCTATTTTTTCCTAATGTTATATGCTGTAGTTTGTATTAAAAATGTTCTTCCATATTTCTTTATTCTGAATGTTTAGGAAATATTTTATATAAAAAAGTGGGGTTATGAAGACAAGCTAATCCAGCTACAAATAGTGCAGTATCATTAAAAACCAATATGTTACTTCATTCATTTTCCTTTAGCTTAGTTCCTTTATTCATCAGGGGTCGCCACAGCAGACTGAACTGTCAACTTATCCAGCATATGTTTTACACAGCGAATGCCTTCCAGCTGCAACCCAGTATTGGAAACACCCATACACACTCATTCACTCAAATACTGTACAGTATACGGCCAATTTAGCTTATTCAATTTACCATTAGTGCATGTCTTTGGACTGTGAGGGAAACGGGAGCACACAGAGGAAACCCTTGCCAACATGAGGAAAACATGCAAACTGCACACAGAAACGTCAGCTAACTTACCCGGGACTCAAACCTGGGACCTTTATGCTGTGAGGCGACAGTGCTAACCACTGAGCCACCATGTCGCCTAAAGCAGTTTGTAAATTTTACGATTACATATAAAATGAAGTGAATAACTCCAAAAGAACCAGCCCTTTCACCAGGCTGGGTATGGGCCTGTAAAATAATATATAAAATCAGCCTGTCATTTCTGTAAATATTAATGCAGATCTGTAAATCATTACCTCAAAATTTACTAGTAATATGGCTTTCACTTCAGAAATGGCTGAAGATGAAGAAACATTTGGTACATGTTTGGACCACAACAGCAGCTTATTACAAGGTACAGTAACAGAACACTTGTTATTTCTAAAAGATTCCCGTCTGTATTTGTTTTGCACTCATTTCACTCACTCTTGCAGATGTCCGAGCAAACAAGGATCTGTTATTTATTCAAGCTCTCAGAATTCTCCTTCTGAAAATCACCATTTTCAACGTTTTAACGACAGCACAAGCCGTCATAAAGTGGTGAGCATTCATATCACTGCAAATGCAATGTCCAAATGCTTTCGAATATACTGCTAATTTTCATAATTAAACTGAAAGCTGTCATATTTGTCTTCTGGAAAATTGCAGAGTTTCAGAAACAACTGTCATGGCTGTCAGAGTTAATTGGCTGCGCTGCTGGAGGGGATTTTACAGCAGACGGAGGAGCTTCGTTGATGCAAATGAGAGTCTGAGATGTTGATGAGTTACAGACCAACATCATGCCGCAGACGCAGGTGCATCGATGTGTGGCCAGATCAGAGTGATAGCTGCTCCAAACCACATCATATGCACAATACAGCTAATGCACTGCACTACAAGGTGCTTTTCTAGGCCATTGCCAAAATCGAGAAAAGCTTCAAGTGGCTTTGTAAAGTCAACTTTCACTAAAATTGTACTGTTAAACTGCTTGGCAGTGAGTGATATTTGAAAAAACTTTGCTGCATGACAAGGAGTTTGCTGTGCATAACACTCTAAAGTAAGCTGTTCATATGTAGAGATGTTGAGTGAATGTGACTTTTTTTGGTATGGAATGTTTACTATTGTTTGTAAATACACTACCATTCAAAGATTTGGAGCTTATAAGGCTAAAAAACTTTTAAAGGTGGTATTTATTTGATCAAAAATACAGTAAAAACTTATATTGTGACCTATCATGAAGTTAACTGTTTTTTTTTTAATATAATACATTACAGTTTTCAGTCACAGGTTTCAGAAATCATTTTCCAATATTTATTTGGTATTTGGTGTTCATGAAACATTTTGTGTTTGTGTGTGTGTGTGTACACCTTGTATTCCATACATTGTGGGTACCAACAGTGTTGGGGAAAGTTACTTTTGGAAGTAATGAATTGCAACATTGAATTACTCTCCAAAAAAGTAATTAGTTTTATTACATAGTTATTTTTATGATATTATATTAGTAACATCAGCACCTGGCTGAGGCTTGAACTCTTTCAAAACTTTGCTTGTTTTAATAGAAGAGCTCTGCAATTGACAACTCACTGTATAACACACACTTACATTAAACTTTAATATAATATAAACCTCGGCGTTTATACTGTTTGAAGCAGTTTGTTTGGCACTTTTGTACTATTTGTTTTAAGTAAAAGCACTGTCCATTTAGATAATCCTCTTCTCCTTTTCTTCGATGTGTTTAAAATATTGAACACATTCTCTTATTGACTGCGTGATTTGTTGTGATTACATTCATTTTAATTCAGCAATTTGTTGTTAAAAGCTAATTAATTAACTAAAAAGTAACTCATGTTACATTAAAAAAACTCAAATCTTATTACTTTATTTTAAAAGTAAAGGGTTACATTACTTATTACTTAGAAAAGTAATATTATTTCAAAACTTACATTACTTGTAATGCGTTACCCCTAAATGTTCCCACAAGTTTAGAAATATGAGTTAACCTTGTGGGGACATTTGTTGAGTCCCCATAAGAAAAATGGCTCATTTATCACTGAATAAATTATGCTGAAAATGTAAAAATGCTGTTTGTTTTCCTCTAAGTGATGGGTTTGCAGTTAGAGGGATAGAACATACAGTTTGTAGATTATAAAGTCATTGGAAAGACTGTTTTTAAAATTTGTTTTCAATTTTTTTGACGGCTGTTTTTATTTGATTAAAAATACAGTAAATGTAAATACCGTAAAAATACAGTAAAGTTATATTGTGACCCATTATTGCGATTGAAGTTAACAGATTAATTTATAATGTAATTTATTATAAGTAATTTATCTAGTTACATTTCACATGATTGTTAGCCACAGCCCATCTTTGGGAAACATACACACACAAACAACGTACAATTTAGCCTACCCAACTTACCTTTACCACGTCTTTGGACTGTGAGACAAACTGGAGCACCCGGAGGAAACCCATGCGAATGCAGGGAGAACATGCAAACTCCATACAGAAATGCCAACTGAGCCAAGGTTCGAACCAGCGACCTTCTTACTGTGAGGCAACAGCACTACCTACTGCGCCACTGCATCACCCATTCATTCTAAACTACTGATTTGTTTATCAAACAGTGTATTATGTATGTATTTTGGATTTTGAAAAAAATATATATATGTGATTTAGAAGTCTGTGTCATGGTAGCACGATCGCCTCACATCAAGAAGGTTGCTGGTTCGAGCCCCGGCTGGGTCAGTTGGCATTTCTGTGTTGAGTTTGCATGTTCTGCCTGTGTTGGGTTGCGGTTGGAGGGGCATCTGCTATGTAAAACATGCTGGAAAAGTTGGTGGTTCATTCCACTGTGGTGACCCCTGATTAATAAAGGGCCTAAGCCAAGAATAAAATAAATGAATGAAATAGTAATCTTTGATAATGCAATAATCCCCCTATCATTTATAATCTATTTAATAGGTCTTATATAGTATAAAGGTCTTTATACTATAAAATATAGTATAAAACTATTTACAAATATTTACCTATTAGGCTTAATTTTGTAATATAATTAATTCTAATTTGAAGTAGTTCCTGACCAGTTTAATTGGTCCTTATTGCCCAATAAAACTGTCAATTTCTTGTATTTGACTCTTGAAATACAATTGTATCTTTAATGTCATTTTTAAAATCAGTTTAATAGGCTCATGAAAAATAACACAAATCTCACTGATTAAATCTTATTTTTAAAACATTTAAAATGATTTTACTGTTATTTTTGATCAATGTGATGTATTCTTTATTCTTTTTTAAATAATACTAAATAACTAAATAAAAGTTTTTCTGACCCTAGGATTTGGAATGGATATGATGGATATGGATGTTTACATATCTGATTTACTGTTGTGCTATGGTACTTTTTGTAGGTCTAAATGTGCTGTAATGTTTTTAGATGATTAATGATCTAATCACAACAGGAATTGTCAATACAAAAGTCAGAGTTTTTGATGTATTTTTCATTTATTGTTTTAAATAACACGTTTTTTCATTTTTTCTTGTTTTTTTTTTTAAACAGCATCCGTACAATACTAAAACACTGATGTAACAATGGTGACCCTCTAGATGGCAGTACAATCACATCTTAAACGTTTTTCAACAGCAAGAGTATGGAGCTTAACTTCTCTAACAAGACACTATATTTCATAAATAATTTAGGTATAAACACTGAGCAGTCACTCTTCACAAAAAAAGTTCACAAAAGTAAGACAGTTCACAAGATCAAATGCGAAATGCAAAAACACAGGATGAAGGCTTTCCTTTGCAGTTACTCAATTGCACTCTGATGCCTTGTTCTGTTTTTTTAAGAGGATCAAACAAACAAACAAAAATCCAACTGTACACTGATTTAGTAAAATGATCCGTTTCGGACGCGGCCGATCACTGCCTACGAAAGTCCCAGTGTTCCAGATACAATCGATTACTCTTGTCACAGTATTGTAGCAGCTCTTCAGCACTGGCAGTAGTTAAACAATGGCCTCTCTACAGTAGCAAGTCTTGGTTTTAAAAACGTTCGGATCAGGAGTGTTGGCATGGCTTCCTCAGCAGTAAGGCCCAGAAGGTATACAATTCAATTTCATTGAATGAATTTAGCATCCATCAGGCCAAATGCCACACACTCAAAAGCAAATAGAGTCAAACGTAAGTGTTTCTGCATATCCTTCATTTGCTTTGAAGCTCTCTGAATGAAATCACTGCTGATGTGCATTCAGCTAAAGAACTGCGGCTCAAGTTGCACTTCTGGCAGATGAAATAACCGCTAAAACGCTTACAGGGCAAACAAACGTTCCACTGAACATATCTCAGACTTTAATTCATGAATTGAGTTGTTTTATGGCACTGGCTTTGCTAAACATGACTTTGGCAAAACCAAATCTATAGGGAAGCTCACAGTTCATCTGGCAAAAGTTTTGATATGTGTGTGTTTTCTGCATCATATCTTTGGTTAAGGATAAAACTAGAATGAGAGAAACTTAAGACTTTTGAGCAGATAGTCAATGTTTGACAAAGGGAATAAATGTTATCTTGCCGCATCTTCTTGCGTGTCACTATATGAAACGTGGCCCACTTACGCAATGTCCATTTTCTAGTCCACTCAATGAGAGACGCTCACTATGAAATTAGTTTGAAAGCGGATAAAGCTTTTAGCATAATATTGTGGTGTTTTTTTAATGCCAGGTTCAGACTAAACAATGTTTTTGTCTGTTGTGTTGGTTCATTTTAGTTGTGATTTTGACTATTTAAAAGGCATGTATGATGTCACAGCGAAGGCAGAACTTGTTACTGACTAATGTAAATGTTAACAAACAAAGGCATCTGAACTCAAACCTTTCCTTCATTGCTCCTCTGGTTCAAAGTCAGACATTGTGGAGAAAAAATGTCTACCCCATGCCTATAGCCAACCACCATAGGGCACTGAAAATATTTTGGCTTCACTCTTTAGAATGTCTAAGGAACACTAAACATAATAGCTGAAAGTTGTTTGCGAATCACAGTTGTTACTAGAAGGAATAGGTTGGATGAGTGGATGGTGGATGAGGAGTGGTGCCTACTCCATACATCACTCTCTTTGTCAATTTTATCAGGGAGAAATCATGTAATCTGAACCTGGCATTAAAAATTCTTTAGGACTGGTGATTTTTTTTTGTTAGTTTTTACATAAAATAGGTAGTTTTTACCAAGCAAAAATAATTTTGATTGTCACTTTTTTAATAAAACAACCTAACTGCCAATACAGAATTCAAATGGTTGATGATTTCTGAATTAAGTGCACTTCAACCTTCCTCTGCGTTTGCTTGAATTCTTCAAATTGCTGATCAACACTACTCAACAGTACAGAGTAGTAGATTAAAAAGAAATACAGACTAAGTGAAAGTCTAGTCAACGTAATCCTTCTGTAAACCTCTATCACACAATCACTACGCCAGCCACATTATTAAAAATATTTATCACGGTTCTACAGAGCAAAATGGTTAGGTATGTACCTTTTTTCTGTAGAGACTCATAGAAATGTATGAAAGAAAAAGCTCAGATTGTAGCACAAAACATGAGCACTGGTTCCATTGAACACTGTTTCCTAGTTGCAAACAAAAAAAGAAAACAAAATAAAAATAAAGTGCTTCCAATAAGATCTCCTCACCTGAGGACAAACACATGACAAAAAATTCACCTCACAAAAATCTACAATCTTGAAAAATTGATTTACACAAAATGTACAGTCTAACGAAGGTTTGCTTGCTAACATTCATTCTCCACACACACACACAGTATATACAAAGTACTCTTTATCCAGAGTACTGACTATTTACACTGTCTGCCATTTTTTTCTTCTTCGAAACAGTTATCAAAACACGATACGCATTATAAAAGCACAGCGATAAGGAAGCTGCTCAGCAGTGCAGTGAGAAGCAATGAAAAAGGACTCAGCCTGGAAGCCGAGTTGGGGAAAATCTGCCAGCGCTCCTTTTTGGGATGCAGTGTCTCCATGTCTTTCAGGGCATTGTAGGCGGCAGTGGTGAAGTTGGCATCTCCTGTAGTGAGCAGGTCAAACACACAGGAGTGGAAATAGATGTCCTTCACCTCCAGTTGGTCCCTGCACCTCCTGGAGGCACTTTCAAGAGTGAAGACGCCTCTCTGGGCTTCCACCCTGGGCTGCTGCTGCTGCTGAAAGCCAGCCTGCTGGAGGCCAAGCACGGGCAGCTGGAGGTGTCCCTCCTGGTCAATGCGCTCTGATGTGGGGCAGCCGTTCATGCACAGCTGCAGGTCCTGCGTTTCATCAAAGGCCATGGCCAGTTCCTCAGGCATTCGCACAGCTAGTGTCAGGTAACGGCCCTGCTGGCGTATGATGATGGTGACCCCGATGTACGCAGCGTGGATTTCTACATGCCGACCGGGAGATTTCTCCAGGATCCAGATGCTGCGGGTCTCACTGTCACCTCCGCTGATGGTGCCGTCTACGAAGGCGGCTGGAAGGTCGTCTGTCACGGCCTGGTAGACCTTCTGGTCTGTGCATTCTTGGTATGGTTTGAAGATTATTGTGATCTTAAAAGAAGCACAAAGAGCATAGTTAGACTACAGAGTCTATTTACTATCTAGAGCGTGTTACTGATCTTACTGTGACAATTCATTTAGGGGTATAACTTCATGGCTTTTTGGTTTGGTAAGCAGGAGTGCAGAACAAATACTGTACATGTGCAGAATTTACTTTTAATACTTTATAAAGTATAAAAAATATCAAGCTATATTCATTTCCATTTTAACAATTCACTACTAATTCTTTAACCCCATGACCAAACTGTTTGCTGTACTATAAAATAAATAGGTTTGGTCCATTTTATTAGAAAATGTTAGGTCTGCTGCTGCTTTTTCTATGACCTTTATGATATCAGTAGAATTGATTCATTTTGATTGACATAATTGTCTCCACATACATGCAAGCATTTTGATTTCTGTGGACATATTCTGAATGAACACGTATTTACAATTATCAAACTTTTTTTAAAATTACAATTGCTTTTTGATGATGTTAATGAATTATTATTAGTTCTGTATTATAGTAAGTATTATAGCATTTATTGCAAAATTTGAAATAGTATTTGTTTTTTAAAATAATATCTTTTATTTCAGATTAGTTTTATTAATTTTAGAACTTTTAGCAATTTTAACTTAAATAGGTCTCGCTACTCGCTGTCTTGTCACCACAGCTGATTCCGACTGATTAGCCGGAATTATTTCCTGCAATTATCAGATAAAATAGCATGCTGTGTGCACTTAATCGTGCTCACAAATTGTTCAAGTTGCCTCCATTTCCCAGGTAAGTAAAATCATATGCTTATATACCATGTTTGTAAATGTATTTGTTTTCCTTAAGATTACTTATCATTTATAATTTTCTTTAGACCTGTTAAGCACTCCAGAATCAGACAGATTGATTGGCTCTTGGCTATAAAAGAGTAATCTGAAACGTTGTCATCGAGTGTTATGTCTTGCTCCACTTCTTTGCCCTTATTTGACATCCCGCGGTCCGTGTGATGACGCGTAAACAAAATTATGACAGTTGGCCACAACAACTTGTATCTTCTTTTGCATTGTTTAGAAACGTACAGTCTATGCTTTTAACATGGTTTGAGTTGACAAAAAAATTTTATCTCATTTTTTTTCAAAACTATTCATTATTATATTCCCGCAAAATAAAACATACAGCTACTGTGTTTGTAAATAACTTTTGAGACCCAATAACAAATCAAAACAAAGATTAACCTGAAAAGCATAAATATTAAATGACAACAAAAACACCAGTCCATCTGTTTCCCCAAACAATTCCCATTTTCCTATTGGCGGAACAAAATATCTATTATTAGTTGAGCAGACGATACAATATTGGTCCAGTCAGGATTTATAAACAAACTGAGAAATATTTTTTAACATCACACACAACAAAAAGCGTATTTCCAGTGTATCTGTACATTACAATGCACTTCTTAATATAATTTGTGTTGATATAATAACACAAATCACGTGAAAAAATGAGAATTAAACAAGAAAATCTGGATTTGTACAGTTCTTTAGACTTTCACACATATTTACAGACACGCAAACCCTTTCTGCAAGTGTGAACCATAAAATGCAGTCAGCTTACAGTTGCTGTGAAACTCTTAAGACTTGTGGGAAGCAAAAGCACTGGCTAATAGGAAGTGTGGCGTTACATTAGTGGTGGATGAATAGTAGCTTTGTACACAGGATGAGGATGAAAAATGATGACTAGTTGGCCATAAGGTGAGGCAGCTGAAAAGGCCTCAGTTAAGCACTGTGTGCTAATAATTACTTGCAAATGTTTAATGATGGCTCCCCCACCTTTAAGGTCAAGGGGTCAAATGAGCAGTAATTAGCATTGGCAGCCAGACTTAGCATTGAAGCCACATCTGTCCTATGATGAGCTCAACAAAAATAGCAAATATCTTGCATACGCAGGCTGTATCATTTACGGCTATTTCATATTACAGAAATGCTTCTGATTTAGCACTTATGGCTTTGTGTTTGTTGTAAATGGCTCTGCTTCGAGTGTTTGTCTGTAAGTGCCACACTTGGGGAAAAAAAAAAACCCAAAAAAACAGAGGCTTCTTTCAAAGTCACCTTTAATGGGTCATGCTGTGTTGCAGGCCACAGCCAGCCATTAATGATGTTACAATTTCACAGACATGTTGGTCACAAGTGTTAGTCACAAGACGATGGCTGTTTGCTTTGTTTAACTTGCACCTGTGACTGCTTGGTCAAAGTTGAATGTTATTGGTCTTATCTGCCGCCTGCGGCTCTTTCTGATAATCTTATCCACATAAGCATGTATAGAGACATCATACACTTTAAATAAAGATTAAAACAACACAGAACGCTGTGATTTTAGAACAATGTTTTCAGCAGAAAATTGAAGATTTTCATGAATTTTTTTAGGTTTGTTTTTGCTATTCATTTACACGCAGTTGACAACTTTATGAGAAATTTTTACAAAATGTGAAGTAAAGCCTCTCCTTTTTCCCTACATTGTTGTCAGGTAAAGTCAGGTTTAATAAATTTTTACATTTCGTATTATGCAACATTGTATACTATATTCATAAACCAAGATAATCCTTGAAAAATTTTACAGTTGATTCTGTTTAATATACAGTTAAAGTCAGAATTATTATCTCCCTTTTGCATTTCTTTTCTTTTTAAATATTTCCTAAATGATGTTTGACAGAGCAAGGAAACTTTCAGAGTATGTCTGATAATATTTTTTCTTCTATAGAAAATCTTATTTGTTTTATTTTGGATAGAATAAAAGCAGTTTTTTTATTTTTTAAAAACCTATTTTCATTTATATATACACTAGATAACACATAGGGATCCTGAGCATGCGTCAATAGCGCCACCACATTTTTACAGTGCTCCCAGGACAAGTGTCATTCAACTGCACTAGTCAAGACAGTGTTACTACGTGAAGATGCTGGACTTAAGCGCTGTCTACTGGTGTAGTAACAAACAAACAAGGAAAACATAGCACAAAGGCAAAACATTTCATAGGTAAGATTTTGTTTTTTACGTTTTTGTATGTTATTAACTTTTGTGCTAAACAGGTGACGTTATTGATGATAATACCGTCTCTTACTGCATGAGGCAAAGTAGTAACAACTCGCACTAAACACTCGGCTCATACTAATATTGTTGAATAAAATCAGCAAACAATGCAAAAGAAATATGACAAAGAAATGCTGCGGTGCCAGAAACTTGTATTATTGTTGGCTAAGAGAACGAGTCGTTCATAATGGAGATTCATTCACAAACGAATCGCTCCCTTCGTCAGTATGAGAAGTGAAAGCAGCAGAGGAGGTGCATTTTAGGACACAGATTAGATCAAATCTAACAGGGAGGGTGGATAGTAAATTTTCATGCACACAAACACATCTTTTTGTCAGGAATGCCCCTGCGGTCATTCATCCGTCACTGTGGAAAAGTGATGTAAAATTATAATTTTTCGTTATTTAAAAAAAAAATATTGCATACCGACCTCCGGGAAAACTCCCGATCATAGATATATGTGTATATTTATATATATATCTGGCTTTGGATGGCCACAGTTCTCCACTGCAGCTTGGTCCCGCATTCATTTCAAAGTAGCCTTACCCTGTACTAAAATGGCGGCTCTATTGACGCATTCCTTCCAATAGACAACAACAGGGTAGGCGACATCTAATGTCTATGACCCATTTTAAGGTCAAATTTATTAGCTCCTTTAAGCTATATTTTTTTTTTGATAGTCTACAGAACAAACCATCGACATGCATTGACTTGTCTAATTACCCTAACCTGCCTTGTTAAGCTAATTAACCTAGTTAAGCCTTTAAATGTTACTTTAAGCTGTACAGAAGTGTTTTGAAAAACATCTAATGAAATACTATTTAATGTCATCATGGCAAAGATAAAAGAAATCAGTTATTAGAAATGAGTTATCTTTACATTAATTCCAATTTCATTTAAACTATTTTATAGTTTTAGTCAACAGCCAGAATGCTTTGCAATAACTTAACATTTTAAAGGAACAGCAAACTATTTCAGTATAAAATTTCATGATGTTCCAAACCTTAATGACTTTCCTTTATCTATTAACATATCTTGTGTGCCAAAAATGTCTAAAAAAAGTGTGTCAGTATAGATTTTAATATTCATTTTTTTTTAATCAACTGAATTACAAATCCTGCAAACCTTATAGCTATGTCACACGTCCAGACCATCTGATCAACTTTTTCCAACAAAACAAAAAGACTATAAAAAACGACTCACCTTATTGGTAGCTGTGGCACTGGATCCATAAACCACTGGAACATTAGTGACCTGCACTGACAGGTAGTTGTTATCAATGAGAGGCCAAGCCCCTTCAACTTTACACGTTTGAAACTGGTCTTTAAAAGTCCTAAGATGAGGGTCCCCGAACAGGCCACAGAACAGGTACATCAGACGAGGGTGTTCGGGCACCCCCGTCCCGAACCGCGACACGTGGTGGTGATGCCGGCTGTGATAGTTGCAAGGCTCGATAGGGATGACGGGATGGGTGGAGGACGTGGGCCCGTCTTTGGAGCAGTTCCTCTGGCTCATAAGGTCAGTGATGCCCAGCATGGCGGAGTGGAAGACCAGGTTCCCCCTGCAGCTCTTGGCAGTACGCTGCGTACAGGCCGAATAGGCTCGCAGCGCCTTGCAGAACTCCGTATCAAAGCCATCCAGTGATGGGTTCAGATGGGACGTCAGAGAAACGAAGTCGGTAGTGCACTTCTGGATGCGGCACTGAGGAGTCTGAACCTGACTCTCACCTGAAAAAAAAAAAAGAAGCTTTTTTTAAAATGCAGCTTAATGCGACTCAAATACATAAAAGCAGTTTTTAATAATGAACATCAGGGGTACCAAATATCGATGCATGTTAATGTTGCGATATATTATTTTACATTTAATCATTGATTAATTACTAATAATACTGTCCATGTCAAGACTGAAAACAGATCACACTATTATCAGATCATTTTAATCATTTTATTCTTTGTTGTTTGTACTTTCTTGTTTCTTTTATTCTAGTTTATGTAAAGCACTTTGTCCACGTGATATCAAAATTTGCAGTGTTTGTTTTGCAAGCAAACATTGTTATTCTTGTTCTATTTATTATAAACAATTATCTGTGCAAGTTAAGCCACAGGAGACAAAACTGTTTCAGTAATCTTCAGTACTGTCATCCAGGCCCCTCTTACCATTAGTTTGCTACAAGAGATTAATCCGTTTCAAGTACATCAACATACTGAGATAAAAGTCTCGGCAATTTTTAATGGTGCTTGATATTTATATTAATTGGGCTAGACATTTTGAAATGTATATCAATAGCTAGTCTTGAAGTTTGTACAATTGTGTAAGCGTTTTTATTTAATGAATGGAAAGGAAATGTTTTTCATAGCTTGTGACCATAGTATGGTGTTTTTTATTGTTTTGGTTGATCGATTAACTGATATGTATAGAAACAACTCTACTTAAGGTGAACATATAAGGTTGAAGTCAGAATTATTAACCCTCTTTGAATGTTTTTTTTGTTTCCTTTTTTTTAATATTTCCTAAATTACGTTTAACAGAGCAAACAATTTTCACATTATGTCTAATATGTTTTTTCTTCTGGAGAAAGACTTATGTTTCATTTTGGCTAGAATAAAAACAGCTTTTACATTTTTAAAAGCGATTTTATGGTCAAAATTATAAGCCCCTTTAAGCTATTTTTTTTCTCAATAGTCTACAAAACAAACCATCATTGTACAATAACTTGCCTAATTACCCTAACCTGCCTAGTTAACCTAATTAACATAGTTAAGCCTTTAAATGTCACTTTAAGCTGTATAGAAGTGTCTTGAAAATTATTTACTGCCATCATGAAAAAGATAAAATAAACCAGTTATTAGAAATGAGTTAATAAAACTATTAAGTTTAGAAGTGTGTTGAAAAAAATTTCCGCTCCCTTCAACAGAAATTGGGGGAAAAAAACAGGGGGGACAATACTGACAAAGTGTTTACATAAATATAACAACATACACACAAACAATCAAACAAATAAACAAATAAAATCAACCACACAAACTACAAATTATGGCACAAATAAGACTTTAGGTTCTAATGACTGATACAGTGTCAATAATTACCTGATAATCTGATATTTGTTAATTAGTTTGGATTGGTTATACATCTACAACATTTTAATTATAATTTTTATATATGTATTTTTAGAGACCTGTTTTTTTTATTTTTACAGAAATGTTTAATATATGAATACAAAAAAAAAAACTATAAATAATAATGAAAAAATAATATTTACAAAGGTGTACAAAGTAAGAATGTTTCATAAAAATGATAAATCTACTAGAGATATAGCTAAAATAAAGAATTGATTGAATGAGTCTGCATTAATTCTGATATTTTCAGTAGGCATCACAATTTTCTATGAAACAGAGTCTGAGTTTAGGCTATTTTTGTTACCTGTATACGCTTAAATTCTCATGAAAAGCGCTTGTGTGTTTGGCTCAGTCAAGTAAGTGGTCAAATGTTCTTGCACCGCAGCTTTTATGCCACAAGTTTAATGTAAACACAAGTCAGAAGTATGAAGCTCACTATAAAGAATTACTCTTGTTTAAGTGGTATGTTTACAAAAAGCAGGAGAAAAGCAGAGCATACAGTGCCATTAAAATAATTGATAAATATGTTACTGTAAATATTAATTTGTTTAGTTTGTACATAAGCAATTACATTTTAAAAGAAAAATACCATTTGTTTTTATTCAAACTGAAATGTTCAATGTGTTACAATCTCTTTGTATTGGTTTTTAATGTTCTAAATAGCAAATGTTTTTGCACATTTCTGTTTTCAGTGCACTTCTCTGTTATTATGTTTCACTTGATGATAACATTACACACAATTTTTAGTTATTGCATTTAAGATATGTGTGTATTCTAAAGTCTTTGCTTTGATGTTTAATTTAAATAGTATACAAAATGTTTCAAAACCTTGTGAAATAAGCACACATGCATTTTTATGAACTGGGCACCTGTTTTATTTAAACTTTTTTTTTTTTTAAAGAATCCTGTCTTAACCAGTCGAGCTTATAAACTATGAACAAAGGCGCACAAATGCAAGCCAGAATCTTCTACCACCTATTGTTGTGACTCGAGTAATAAACCAGTTTAAACTGCTTAAACATTATAAGGTGTGCTAGCATGAACTCCATGTGTGTTTTACATTATGCTCAAGAAACATTAACAGTCGGCTCAACAAGTGTGTGAAATCTCCTGTTATCTACAAAGGAGAATGCTTATGGCCACAATAAACTCAAATAAAACGGCACTTCAAATGAGAAAAACACAGGAGGGCTTGTCTGCTGATCGCACATGTGTCTGTAAGCAAAAAAAGAAAAGAAAAATTGTGTTGTGGCAGTCTAAGACTACACGCAACTATTTATCTCCTCAAGTGTCATTAGGGTGTGGACTCAGGGTAACAATTAAAAGTGTTTTCTTTGAATGCTACATGCTTCACTTGTACACGTTCCAATAAAACTTGTATGGTTTTGTTCTAGGGATGGGTACTGGAACAAATTTCCTCTTTCAGTTTTAGTTTGATGCACAAGCTTGTGATTTAAGTCCCTTGTAATCTCGATTCAGATTTAGTTGCTATTAATTGGCTTGGTTATACTTCATATCTGGTGCAGAACATGTTAATTTTTCTCAGGAACCAAAAAATCTTTAACCTTTTGTTGTAAACTTCTATAAATGGAAATGCTATTATGTTAACGCTTCAAATGAATGATCTGTGTTTGAACTATTTATGTTTTAATCATTGGAATGTTAATGTTTCTACCCAAATTAGTTCTTTACAAAAACATTATGCATCTAATTAACATTTATAAAGAGTTCAACTGTGGTTTGAAAACAAGCTTTAAAATCTATTTACACACAAGTTTTACATTTTGAAATGTAGGTTAAGTACGATTATATTTAATATGCAGTACACTTCCTGTTTTAGCATCTATAGTTTTTTAAAACAGTGTTAGGAATCCTACACTCTAGAAAAAAATAACTGTTAATCAACAGTTTCCATTTTTTGTGATACACAAGTGCTTTACAGTTTGTGAATTGCATTATGGGATGTTCATCACTGCTGTCGAAATTTCATGTTAAAAATCCAACTCTGTAGTTCAGTGGCGGTTCTAGTTTAAATGGCAACCTGGGAAAAACCACTCCAAACATCCCCTTCCCCCGTCCACCAAGAAATAAAGACACTATGTGGGTGATTTTTTTTATATTTTTAGATACGTATTTTAAATATAAACATTTGAAATAAATATTGTACATACATTTAACTATATATATATATATATATATATATATATATGTAAAGACACAGCTATAGTAATATTCTAAAACTTTTGCATAAATATTAATTATGACCGCTCTATAGAATACAAAAAATACATGTTTTATAGAATTATTTGTTGTCTTAGACCTGACTCATGGCCGAGAATTAATATTATGATGTCTTAGTTACCTCCCGGACTCATTATTCCTCCTTTCTGCCTCACAGCTATGCTTAGTCAAAGTATCATCATCATCATCATCATCATATTATTATTATTATTTAAACTTTAGTTTTTTCGACTTGCATGTTGACGCATATCGGCGTGCATGTAAACAACCGGGATCAAGGGGCAGCATGTGTGAGGTGCGGGGGAATAGCTTTCTGCGCACATGCGTCAATTTGTTTTCACCAGTGTTGTTTCGGTTGCACATAGAGAATAACAAACTTGCACGTGCAAAAGATGCCAAATGTGAATGGCCCCTAGCGTCTTTAGCTATTTTTTTTGTCTTTTTTTGTCTTTCCGTGTCACCGCCAGCCCTGGGCGATCGCCCATTTTGCCCATGCATCCGCCACTGCTACAGTTTAACAAAGTGACTTTTATTTATTTATATTTTAGCGGTTTGAAATAATATAACATACAGAAAAATAAGCCTGTTGAACAGAAAATGTACTGGCAGTAAGCATGGCACGATTACTGTTTTTTCAAGGTATACCACAGCTTGGAAAAGTCAAGGTTTTCTCTTACAAGTCAAATTTTCTCTTACAATGTTCCTGTGATATATGTAAGTTTTTTATTTTTTTTTTTATTTAATTTTTGTTTAGTTTTTTAGGACAACAGTATCTCCAGCAGAAGAAAATGCCATTTTAAATAAAAAAGAAAACAGCAGAAGTCAATGATTTATTTGAATTATTATTGCATATAATTTCAAAGTATTTTAAATGTTTCTCTGAGTCAAATATATTAAGTTCAAAGGGGAATAGTTATTGTTTTTTATCCAGATATTTAAAAAGAACATATTTTAGATCAGTGTTCACAATACCGTGAAACCCTGACATTTTTATCCAATGCCATCATAATCATACAATCAGAATTTTATACCGGCCCATGCTAACTGGCAGTTTATTACAAGAATTTTGTACCGCAATATACAAAAACATCCCAGCTAATATTCCATTTTACATATCAAGTTATTTTTTTCAGATTAAACATTTTTAGAAGAAAGCTCAAGGTCCCATAATGCAATTCAAAAGCATAAATAAACAGGGAAAATTAAAATCAAGAACCACAAAACATGAAAAACTTACAGTGCATGACTGTTATTTACTACAGTGAATGAAATATTTTCTGTTTTTCCTTAATTGAACTGAAAAAAAATGAAGCCTAACATTTATTTTGATGAGTTGTTGTGAATATGCTGTGAGTTATGTGGGTCTGTGA